AATCTATGCCAGGTTTATTTTAAACGTATAAAACAGTTTTTGGAAAATATAAAGTTAATATAAATTATCATAGGTCCGAGGTTCCTAGAACCACCCTGCTGGACTCATGTAAATATCTTCTATAAAGAATAAAAAACAGACGATTTATTCAAATGGATTAGGCACGAACCTTCCACCTTGAAGGGTGTCCATGCACAGATAAAACAAAGAGCTCTCGAGTCTCCGTAGCTGCAGCTCTACTGACACAGGTGGATTACGGTGGTGGTTCCCTCTGTAACCTTGAAATAAAAACTTTTTAGTGAAGTGTTGCTTATACACTAAATTCTCTGTTTTATATCGTGTTTGATTTATATTGGCTCTAATTTTTCAGGCCTCTGTAAAGCCACACTTTAATATAGTACGTGTCTTCAGAGTCACTTCACGGTGTAGTTTGCCTTCACTGTATAATACTATATGACTATATATCTATCATTTTTCAGTATCTATATTTAGTAAATCCACCTTATAATGCAAAATAACCACAGAGGGAGTTGAATGATAGCTCTAGGTTTTCGTGTTCCAATCAACACATCATCAGGAGATTACAATGTTGCAGAAATGAGTAGGAAGTCCATGCAGATTCTTTCAGGGAAATGACTATCCAGATTCTAGAGCTATCATTCAACTCCCCCTGTGGTTATTTTGCATCTTTTATCGCTCGTTCGCGATTATTGCATAATCTTACGTTTGGAAGATCACATCATTGTACACTATATTTCTGATTAACGAAGTTTTATGTTGCAATGAGTTTAAATTCTTTATTGCCACTGCCACGTATATTTTTTTGTTCCTATACGTAAATAATCATATGGAAAATATCACAGCGTTCATTGATGTTCTGTTTTCTTTCACCTGTTGTTTCCTCTTCAGATCAAGGATTCCTCTCCAAGGTGAAAGATGAAGAGGTTCCAAAAATGCTCTTTCTCTCCGTCAACCCTACCAAGGTCAGTCTTTTAATTAGAGATACAGACAGTGTAGCTATTTACAGACGCTATTAAAAAAAATTGTCACTCTTTACTGAGGTCTGGAGTTCGAATCCCCCGGTACGGCTGGAAAATATTAGGACGTGTTTCCATAAGATACCTGCTATCCATGTTCAGCATAAAATGGGTACCTGGGTGTTAGTCGACCTGGTGTGGGTCGCATCCTGGGACAAAACTGACCTAATTTGCCAGAAACAAGCTGTTTTCTACATAATAGTATGTCACTGATGTCAGCTAGGCCTGTATACCATGTACTTGTAGATATGAAGATATTATATTATTATTTTTAGTTTTAGTATTATATTATTTTTATTTTAGTATTATCATCGACGCATTACCTGCTCCTCACCGAAGCAGGGTGACCCATCAAAGCAGTGTGACCCACTAAGGCAGGGTGACCCACCAAGGAAGGGTGGCCCACCAGGGTGACCTACGAGGATGATCAACCAAGGCAGTGTGATCCATCAAGTCACAGTGACCCACTAAGGCAGGGTGACCCACCAAGGAAGGGTGACCCACCAGGGTGACCCACAAAGCTGTTTCTCCAGACACGAATTAAAATAATAGGTAGAAAACGCTGCATTACTTGGGCACAAAGTTTTTTTTTTTTTTTTTTTCGCCGGTATTCTCCCGGCCCGGGTCTTTTCCAAGTAGTGGTGACCCGGCATTGGCTCCCTATCTGGGGAGTGTCTCGAGACCTAAGTCTCCCATGGGAGGAGGTACAAGTACCCCCTCATCTTTTGGGCCAAGTGTCCCCAGGCCTAGCCACATTCCCCGCCCTCACGGGGCTCGCAGGGAGAAGCTAGGCCTCTGGTCTGCCATCTGCCCTGCCCCAAAGGGGCTCGTGGGGATGGCAGTCTTATGAGCTGCAGGTGGTAACAAGCTCAGGCTCAAGGTTTTTGATGTTTTCGTTTTCTTCTGACATTTACATATTCGTTTTTTTAATTTGTTCGCTGGTCTGCAAAGACAACTGAATGCGGGGACCACCAAAAAACATTACTCAACTCGAATCGAGACTTTGATTGTCTGCAGCAGCAGTTTAAGATACAGCAGACTGTGGATGTTTTTGCAGGTGGTGGAGGAGGTGGAAAAGGCATTACCAATAAGTTCGAGCTCCACCTCTCAAGACGAAGACGCTGTCGGCGTCGGACACACCCATACCACCGGTGACTTCAAATCCGAGGGAGGTTCCGACTCCGTCTCCAGACTACTTCAGAAATTCGAGGTAAGTCAGAGGAGAGGAGGTGCATGTCTGTTTAAACGTATGGAAAAACAACGCAAAAATGCTTTACATCCGTCTGCTTTAGGGCAAGTTGCCGGGGATCCCGTACTTATAGAGCAATGATCGGTGTAATGTTTGCCAGTCAGTATTTTTATGGCTATAGAGTCACTACCACAGATTCGATGAAATCAATATTTGTAAGCCAGTCACAACACAAACACAATGCTTCACCCTTGTGGCTTAGCGCTTCTTTTTTATTATAATAATAATTCACCAACAAAACATCTCATCAATACAATACCAAAAAACACAATACTTCAACGCAAGACCCCACCAACACAACACAAACACAGTGCTTCACCAACACAACATCTCATCAATACAATACCAAAAAACACAATACTTCAACACAAGACCCCACCAATATAATACTCTACACACAGAAATTCTTCAAAAACAATGCTCCACCAACACAGAACTCCACCAGCACATTACTTCACCAACATAATACTTCAACACAATGCTTCACCAACAAAATACTTCACCAACACAGTATTCTCCTAATAGCAGGATTTGTATTTAGTTTCTTGGACAATATTTTGAGGGAGATGTCATAGGGCTGCATTAACAATGACTGTTTCCTGTGTTCGTAGTCGGCTCTGAAGGAGAAATCCATCTCTCCGGTGCGTCGTGAGCTACAGCTGCGACTTCTTAAACTCTCCAGTATGGAACTCTGCCGCACCAACAGCCTCAGCACACTAGAAAGCAATTTTTCTGATGAGAGCGACCAGCTAAGTAACGAGGAAGAAGACGTCCTGGAGTTCACAGAGATCTTTGAGATGTTCAACTACTCGGCGCCAGAGTCCATCAAGACCAACTTCGGTAACATTATAGCCTCCAAGAAGATCCCCGTCAGAGCAGATTTCGGGACCATCAACAAAAAGACGTTCTTTGTGTACGCCGAGAATAAAATTATGATGAAAATTTGTGACTTACTCTCGGCAAATGATGTCTTCAAGATGTACAAAGTTCTCCGAGAGTCGAAAGCAGTCGAACAAGACGATATACAAGATCTCCTGTCGCAGCCTATAGACCATAAGACCCTGCAGAAAGTAAAGGGACTGAAGGACGTGGCTTTCTATTACCTAATTTTAAATTTAATGAGAAAACAAATGCTGAACAGACTCTACACACACAAACTCAACTTTATATTCCATCAACTGAAGCAAATGAATGAGCAAGATAGCACTCCATGCCCCCACATCGACCGTGTCCTCTCCAACCTCAATCGATACACTGTGGCTTCACGTCCCCCGGGTCTTTGCCTTATATTTATTATGTTAGAAAATCGTTCTGGAGCTGCAAAAGACCTCGCGAAGGTCAGGGACCTGTTCGAAAAAGTCTTCATGTATGATGTTTTCGTGAAGAAGGACCCTACGGCTGAAGATATCAAAACAATCGTCAGTAAACTGAAGGCCGCCAGGAACAAGTTTTACGACAGGTAGGTCAGTTTTATATTTTTCATATTTCTTACATTTGTATTTAACATACTAATAGGTGCTATTTTTCCTCAACTGATTTCAAAATCTGGTACTAACGATATCTTCATCTCATGGTATACCATTCCACACGATAAAATCCACAACAGTCCCCAACGCTAAAAAATCTATTTGCTGCTAAAACATGGACATGTTCTAAGGGCATGAAAAAAAAAAAGGATTAACGAGAGGTTGCATAAAAGATAAGAAACTGGACAGGAGTCGAAGAGAGAAACAGAAAGAACAACAGATAATAACTTAAAATATAGAAAAAAATGAAAGAGACAGTGAGTAATAGAGAGGAGTTGAAAGAAATAATAGAATAGATTAGAAGGAAGTTAGAAAAACGAAGGAGAAACTGAGGAAAGGTATTTTTTTAATTAACATCCTTAGTTATACAGATCCCTTTCACCCAACATTTGAATACTTCCAGTAGGTACGTAGCTTCAGGTTGATAGGAACCTGCCTAGGTGTATTTGTTGTCATTCTTGTGATGAACACAAACCTGGCTTATATAATCAGATGTTAGCTTATTCGTCGAGGGGGAAAGCTTGACACTGGTCCACGGCATAATGAGACGTTCAATGCTACCGGCACAGTGACGAGGGAGCTTCAGACGGCTTGGCCAAAGAAAACTGAAGGTGGAATAAATAACCAATGGACCTTTGACGAGTTACAGCAACAGTCACTTCTGCCTTAACCCTAATGAACTCAGTGATCTGGGTGAAGTATCTGACTTCAAATTTCATAATATTAATGGTATATGAACAACACATTAATATTGAAAAAAATTGCATGCAGAAAAGGAAATATTATTCATGAAATTACACAGTTTGCATAAACATGAAATGTTGTACATTAAGAGAAGACAATGATTGTTTACCTTATTTACCTGGAGAGAGTTCCGGGGGTCAACGCCCCCGCGGCCCGGTCTGTGACCAGGCCTCATGGTGGATCATCGCCTGATCAACCAGGCTGTTACTGCTGGCTGCACGCAATCCAACGTACGAACCACAGCCCGGCTGGTCAGGAACCGACTTTAGGTGCTTGTCCAGTGCCAGCTTGAAGACTGCCAGAGGTCTGTTGGTAATCCCCCTTATGTATGCTGGGAGGCAGTTGAACAGTCTCGGGCCCCTGACACTTATTGTATGGTCTCTTAACGTGCTAGTGACACCCCTGCTTTTCATTGGGGGGATGTTGCATCGTCTGCCAAGTCTTTTGCTTTCGTAATGAGTGATTTTCGTGTGCAAGTTCCAGGGAATACAGATTTAGGTACCTCAAGCGCTCCCAGTAATTGAGGTGTTTTATCTCCGTTATGCGCGCCGTGAAGGTTCTCTGTACATTTTCTAGGTCAGCAATTTCACCTGCCTTGAAAGGTGCTGTTAATGTGCCGCAATATTTCAGCCTATTATTATTATTATAATCAAAAAGAAGCGCTAAGCCACAAGGGCTATACAGCGCTGCAGGGTAGGGAAGGAAGCAAGGGAATTGGATGGCAGAAGGGAGGGGGGATGATCAGCAGGTTACAGAAAACAGCGGGGCAGGGGATAGTACGGGGGTAGAGGGTAGCAAGAGATTGAAGTAGAAAGGGCTGAAGGTATCAGAATTTGTGAAGTCAGTCAGTCGTTGTCAAAAAGTCAATGAGAGAGTCCGGATGAAAGGTGGGTCCATCAGCGAGAAGGGAAGGTAAAGAGAGAGCAGCGGAGCGAAGACGACGACAGAGGTAAATTCTGCGTGCTCGTTGATAAAGTGGGCAGTCCAACAGAATGTGGCTGACTGATAATGGAGCTTGGCAATTCTCACAGAGAGGACAAGACGCTCTCCATGAGATATCCATGAGTAAGACGAGTATGGCCAATGCGAAGACGGGAGAGGAGTAGTCTCCCAACCTCGACACTGGTGATAAGAAGACAGCAGTAACCTATACTCGGTTTAATAGACTGAAGTTTGTTGCCAAGCATAGTAGACCAACGTTGTTGCCAACGGGTGTGAAGGTGGGAAGATATTGCAGCAAATAGTCAAAATGGAATACCTCTATAGAAACTGGTAGGTCATGTACTGCTGACTGCGCAGCAGTGTCTGCCTGTTCATTGCCCTGTACGTCAACATGACCAGGGACCCAACAAAAAACAATATCTTTATGCTTTGGTAAAGATGCGGCGTAGCCAAAGTTGGATACGGAGGACTAAGGGGTGAGGTGTATCAAATTTTTGTATGGCCTGTAAAGCACTAAGGGAGTCTGAGACAACCCCAAATATGACACAGGCATAGAGAAATGGGGAAAAGTGCTGTAAGGATGGTAATTCGCAGTAAAAATACTAGCCAAGATAGAAAATCCCCTTGTACGACGCTGTCGGAAACACTGCTGCGAATCCTACCCCCGTCAGAAGATTTAGAGCCTCTGTGTACACGCAATGGAGGGAAATGAGAGGAAGTGGTCAAGAAAAGAGAGCGGGAAGCGCCGTAGACGTTGATTTTGGGCAAGGGGGGAAAAAAGAACGACTCAAACGCTGGAACTTCCCGGGGGGGTAGGGAAAGTGAGTGCTACTTGTACATAGAAAGGTGGTAGTTAAAGAGAAGACAAGAGGAATAAAGGGAAAGAGAAAAGGGAGGAGAAAACAGGGGCGGCGAACAAATAAAAAATGTCTACTAATATCAGTGACCATTCTATAAATGGAAGGTTGCGGAGATCTGAGGGTACTTGTAGCGAGGCAATGGGCATCCGGCGATGGAAAAGGTGGAACGTTGTTTCTGCATAGAGGCTTCGACGGGGAAGAGGGGGGAAAGCCCAAAGGCATAAACGTAATCCTTGGGTGAAGGGGGTTTAAAGGCTGAGGAGTAGCAGGAGTGCCCGGAAAATTTTTTTGGTCCCATAATAAAGTTTCGATAAAAAAAGGGGGGAATGTAGGCAAAGGGAGGGTTCGCGTCAGTCCCAGAAAGATGAAAAGGGGTTTTTAAAAAGGTTCACCCGGCTGTGAAAAGTTCCCTTCAGGGAGGTAATGGGGTTTCCGGGGTAACCTCGATCAAAGAGGAGGCCCCAAAAAACTTGATGTATCACGTTCGGGGGATAGGGGGACCTAGAGGTAAAAAAGGTGATCGGAGATGACAGAGCGTCTAGTGAAAGTGATTTGGTGGGTTTTGTGCTGGAAAAAATTTTAAAACCCCCGTGTGGTGGCCCAATTGGAAAAAAACCGGTCGAGCTGTTGGAGAGAACTGTAAGGAGGGGGCAGTCAGGCCTGCACAGGCAATAGGAAGTCATCAACATAGAGTGTGACCAAAATTTTAGGAAGATAGAGGCCAAAACTTAATAGAGGAGAAAAAATGTGTGCTCAGAACCATCCTGGGGGACACCTTCAGTTGGTAAGTCCGGGGGAGCACATTATTAACCCGAACACGGAATCCTGTCAGTTAAAAAGTTTTTAAGGGAAAGGGTGGTTTGATTGCCCGAAGGCCCAGGAGTGGGGTGGGCTAAAATATTTACCTCCAGTTGTGTCATTGCCCTTTCAAGGTCAAAAAAATATGGCAAAAACGAGTGGGTTTTTCGCAAGGCATTCGAAAAAACGTATCAAGGTGAAAGGGGTTATGGTAGAAGTCCCTTACGAAAGCCATATTGCGAGTGGAGAGACTGTTGGTGTTTAAAAACCACATAAAAATTATTTTCTGGGTTCCATTACTTTGAAACTGCCTGGGGAAGAGAATGGGACGATAGTGGGGGGGTTTAGTCCCCTAGTGCCCCGGTTTGCGGAAAAAGGGAGAACAATGGCGGTTTCCGGTGGAAAAAACTCTTGTTACCAATAAGTTTTTTTAAAGGGTAATAGGACTGCAAGGGCTGATGATGTAAAAGTTGTGCATACGAATGAATTCGTCGGGCCCCGCGCCCATGATCGACAAGTGAGAGTGTTGCCTCCCGTTCTTGAAGTGTAAAAGGCACATTATACTGTTCTTCTCTGAGAGAAGAAAAGTCCAAGGGTGCTAACTCTCTGGCAGACTTTGAGGAAAGAAATGAGGGGCATAGATGGAGTCCCTGAGAAATACGGACCAGATGATTGCCAATTTCATTGGCAACATCTAGTGGGTTTGCTATATCAACACCGGCAACCCGCAGAACAGGAGCCGGGTCAGGAGAATATTTACCACTCAGTTTTCGTACTTTTTTCCAGACTGCACTCATAGAGGAAGCAGAGGTGATGGTGGAGACATAATCTCGCCAGCAAGTGCGTTTAGCGTCACGGATGACACGGCGAGCGATCGCACACTTCTGTTTAAAATCAAGGAGTCGCTCTGTGGTTCTATTGTACCGGTACCTGCCCCATGCAGCGCGTTTCAAACGTACTGCACGAGCACAAGCAGGAGACCACCAAGGCACGCATTTCTGAGAATGCCTGCCCGAAGTTTGGGGTATAGAATGAGAAGCTGCAGTGAAAACGGAGGACGAGAAGAGGTGTAAAAGCTCATCGATGGAGGACGAAGAAGGAACCTCTTTAAAAACAGTTAGGTGTGAGTAAAGGTTCCAATTTGCCCGATTAAATTGCCAGCGTGGGGTGCGAAGAGGTGGCGAATATGAAGGGGAAGTAAGAATGATTGGGAAATGATCACTGTCATGTAAGTCCGGGAGAACAGACCAAGTGAAGTCTAATGCGGCGGAGGAAGAGCAAACTGAGAGATCAATGCAAGAGAGAGTATGAGTCCGAGGATCAAAATGGGTGTGAGTACCTGTATTTAAAACATGGAGGGGGTGGGTGGCAAGAAAAGCCTCTAACTGAATTCCACGGGAATCACAGTGAGACCCCCCCCCCTAGAGGAAATGGTGGGCATTAAAATCACCAAGTAACAGAATCGGTGGCGGTAATGACGAAACAAGGAAGGCAAAATCCGGAATAGATAATGCCCGAGAAGGAGAGAGATATAAAGAACAGAGCGTATACCACCTATGTAAGTGGATACGGGCTGCTGTGTAATGCAGCGAAGTATGAACAAATAGCTGATGGTACGGAATATCAGTGCGGAGAAGAAGGGCACTTTCATTAAAGGTCCCATCAGGAAAAGGATCTGAAGAATACAATAAATTATAGCCTGAGATGTGAGAAATAACAGCAGAGTGTAATTTTGGTTCCTGTAAGCAAACACCAACAGGGGCAAACTGGGAGAGTAACATCTGAAGCTCACCCAATATTTCAGCCTAGATATTATTATTATTATTATAATCAAAAAGAAGCACTAAGCCACAAGGGCTATACAGCGCTGCGCAGCCTAGATAGAACAAGCGACCTGAAGTGTCATGGGCTTGGCATCCCTTGTTTTGAAGGTTCTCATTATCCATCCTGTCAGGGAAATATTTTCCCCAGCATCAATAATATCGTTTTCTCCGAAAGTAAGTCTTTAGAACTGATTTTTTTTTATGTTAAATGAGATCAAATAAAATTTGAATTGATGAGCTATGGCAATCACTCATGCATCTGAAATTAACATTACTACTGTATTGCGATGAATTGTCTTCATCCCAGCTTGTGCATATTCATCAAGTTCTTTAGTTTAACTCACGGATGTAAATAAGACACAATATGAAGATTAAGGTATTTTATTAACAAAGAGGTTTCGTCTGATTTATATACTGTTGGTACATTCTGCCACTGTATAACAATGCATTAACTGACGCAAACGGGAAGGATTTGAGCCCATGGTCAGCCAGTTCTAGAGGTAGCAAGCCAGGTGCTTATTATACTCGCGTTATTATTTCTCAAGTTCAATTAGCTTGTACATAATTATCACTTAATACCGGAGAGGGGCTCTTGACCCAAGCAACTGAAGCTACCCTCTTTTTTATTGGATTAAACCTGATTACCTCCCATTCTCCAGGCATTGCTTGATCCCTACGGTCTTAGCGCTTTCCCTTGATAATAATAATAATAATAATAATTTGCTTTACTTAATCTCTCACCTGCCAGTGTTACCCCTCAGCTTGGTGGTATGGTTCATGGGTCATGGTGACAAGACCAACTTGGCTGTAAAGGACGGACCAATCCACCGTCGCATCGGTCTCATTGAACCCTTCATTGAACTCGAGTGGTTTGTCCAGAAGCCCAAACTATTCTTCATACAAGCATGTTCAGTCAAGGAAAACAGGAAAAAGTTTTCAGTGTGTAAGAAATGTTTAAAAATTTTGTGTATTCCTGAAAGCCGAAAGCATGACTTTTTCTGTGTAGAAAGTAGGTAATAATTGATATTAGCTTTGCATATAATGCAAGGTGATCAGGTGCTTCGAGATAAATTAAAGCTTTTTTATTTGAAAATCAACATTCTGGTGTTCTGCTCTTTATTTTTAAGTTGAATTTCTATCTAAAAAAGCATCAGTAAATAGATTGTGCTGTGAGTAAAATGTATTCAGTAGCTTGTTTGTGTGTGTTATGACATTGTGATTTAAGTGATATACCAATGTGATACACAATAATAGTCTTACAATGTCGACCCACATATCTAGGGCCAAATTAACCCTTTCACTGTCGGTCCCGTAATATTACGGCTTGCAAGCGAGTGTTGGTCCCATAATACCATGCCAAAATTCTAGCGCCTTCAAAGCTGGTAGGCCTACATGTGAGAGAATGGGTCTGTGTGCTCAGTGTGCACAGTATAAAAAAATCCTGCAGCACATAGTGCATAATAAGGAAAAAAACTCTGAACATGTTTTTGGTTTAAAACACCAAATTTGCGGTGTATTTTTGTATGGTATTTATGGTTGTATTCTCGTTTTCTTGGTCTCATTTGATAGAATGGAAGATATATTACAGAAATAGAAATGATTTTGAATGGTTTTCAGGCTAAAAGTACCTTGAAATTAAGCTCAGAGTAGCAGAAATGTTCGATTTTTGCCGATGCTCAAGAGTAAACAAATCACACCACACGTCCAACACACATCAACTGAAGGGTCTAATATGCTTTCACAAATGCGCTGATATTATTTATACCATTTTTACAATAATGTAGTAGTATGCATAACAGTAAATCTTCTATTTTTTGTGTGAATAAAAATTCAAAATGGAAAGCAAGCATAATATAAGAGGGGCCTGGAGACGTGACTAATGAACAGAGAAAATGTTATTTTAATGCTTGGAATGTCTGCATTGTTTATTCTGGCCTCTATTTTGATATTGGCCTTACATGTACAGTGGACCCCCAGTTCACGTTATTAATCCGTTCCTGAGAGCTCATCGTAAAGCAAAATTATCGGAAAGCAAATCAATTTTCCCCAAAGGAAATAATGGAAATCAAATTAATCCATGCAAGACACCCAAAAGTATGAAAAAAAAAACTTTTACCACATGAAATATTAAGTTTAATGCAATAGAATAATTACAATAACAATAATAACAATAGAATAATCACAATAGAATACAGGTCCCCCTCAACATTCGCGTTTTCAACTTTCGCTGGCTTCACACATTCGCGAATTCCCAACCGCCAAATTCCCAGCCGCCAAATCACATTTAAGTTTACCGCCACGAGTCCTTACTACCCTCCCTCCGACCCCTGCAACTGACAGCCAGCTCTCCCACCACTTTATGGTGAGTGTTTTGTGTTTATTATTTGCTATTAAACTACAGTATAAATAATGTAAACCCATCCATGACTGCATATTAGAATGGCTATTCAGACAGGTATTGGAAGGTGACATCATGTGTTTACTCTTGAACACAGCAAAGAATCAAACATTTCTGCTACTGCTAATAATAATAATAATAATAATAAATAATAATAATAATAATAATAATAAATACGATAGAATTGAAGAAGGAAATTGTACAAAAATACGAGGGTTGAAGCAGTGGTGGAGGAAGTGGTTGACACATGGTCAGTGTGGCTTTGTTTATGCTGGAGTGGGTATTAGTCTCCGTGCTCTTCCAAACATTTCACAATAATTCATTGTATTTGATGCTTGTAGATTGAGTGTGACTGGAATGGTTGAGGCAGTGGTAGAGGCAGTTATAGAGGCAGTGGTAGAGGCAGTTATAGAGGCAGTGGTAGAGGCAGTGGTAGAGACAGTGGTAGAGACAGTTATAGATGCAGTGGTAGAGGCAGTTATAGAGGCAGTTATAGAGGCAGTGGTAGAGGCAGTTATAGAGGCAGTGGTAGAGGCAGTTATAGAGGCAGTTATAGAGGCAGTGGTAGACAGTTATAGAGGCAGTGGTAGAGGCAGTTATAGAGGCAGTTATAGAGGCAGTGGTAGAGGCAGTGGGTGAGGCAGTGGTAGAGGCAGTGGTAGAGGCAGTGGTAGAGGCAGTGGTAGAGGCAGTGATAGAGGCAGTGGTAGAGGCAGTTATAGAGGCAGTGGTAGAGGCAGTTATAGAGGCAGTGTAGGGCAGTGGTAGAGGCAGTTATAGAGGGTGTAGAGGCAGTTATAGAGCAGTGGTAGAGGCAGTGGTAGAGGCAGTGGTAGAGGCAGTGGTAGAGGCAGTGGTAGAGGCAGTGATAGAGGCAGTGATAGAGGCAGTGATATTTACTAACATCATGTTATAAATAATAGTACATTATGAATAACATTTATTATTATTATTATTATTATAAGTGTTAATATTAACATGTACTATTATTATTTATAACATATATGTTAGTAAATACCTCTATCAATGCCTCACCCACTGCCTCTATCACTGCCTCACCCACTGCCTCTATCACTGCCTCACCCACTGCCTCTATCACTGCCTCACCCACTGCCTCTATCACTGCCTCACCCACTGCCTCTATCACTGCCTCTACCACTGCCTCAACCACTCCAGTCACACTCAATTTACAAGCATCAAATACAATGAATTATTGTGAAATGTTTGGAAGAGCACGGAGACTAATACCCACTCCAGCATAAACAAAGCCACACTGACCATGTGTCAACCACTTCCTCCACCACTGCTTCAACCCTCGTATTTTTGTACAATTTCCTTCTTCAATTCTATCGTATTTATTATATTATTATTATTATTATTATTATTATTATTATTATTAGCAGTAGCACAAATGTTTGATTCTTTGCTGTGTTCAAGAGTAAACACATGATGTCACCTTCCAATACCTGTCCGAATAGCCATTCTAATATGCAGTCATAAATGGGTTGACATTATTTATACTGTAGTTTAATAGCAAATAATGAACAAAACACTCACCACACAGTGGTGGAGGGCTGGCTGCCAGTTGTGGGGGGTCGGAGGGAGGGTAGTACGGACTCGCTGTGGTGGAGGCAGTGGTATTTAATAACATACATGTTATTAAGCCATAACATATGTATTTAGTACAATTTACTACGTTTTCATGTATTTTATGATTGTTCATGGTTCGACAAGTTAAGGAAGCAGTATTGTATTATATTTCCTTACAATATATTGGGGCACCAAACATTTGCGATTTTTCAACATTCACGAGGCTCTTGATCCCCTAACCCTCGTGAATGTTGAGGGAGACCTAATTGACACTTACCTTTAATGAAGATCTGGTGATGATTGATGGGATGGGAGGAGGGGAGAGTGTCGAAGTTTTTAATGTTTAGAAGGGGAATCCCCCTCCATTAGGACTTGAGGTAGCAAGTCCTTTTCCGGGGTTACTTCCCTTCTTCTTTTAATGCCACTAGGACCAGCTTGAGAGTCACTGGACTTCTGTCGCACAACATATCTGTCCATAGAGGCCTGTACCTCTCGTTCCTTTATGACTTTCCTAAAGTGGTTCACAACATTGTCAGTGTACAGGTTGCCAACACGGCTTGCAGTAGCTGTGTCAGGGTGATTTTCATCAAAAAAAGGTTTGCACTTCAAGCCACTTTGCGCACATTTCCTTAATCTTTGAAGTAGGCAACTTCGTCAGTTTCTCTATCCCCTCCTCCAAAGCAGTTTCCTCAGGTCTGGTCTCTTGCTGTTGAAGATGATCTAGCAGCTCATCAGTGGTTAGTTTGTCATTGTCCTCCTCCACCAACTCTTCCACATCCTCCCCACTAACCTCCAACACCAAGGACTTTCCCAATGCCACAATGGATTCCTCAACTGGCATAGGATTCCCAGGGTTAGCCTCAAACCCTTCAAAATCCCTTTTGTCTACACATTCTGGCCACAGTTTCTTCCAAGCAGAGTTCAAGGTCCTCTTAGTCACTCCCTCCCAAGCCTTACCTATAAGGTTTACACAATTGAGTATATTAAAGTGATCCTTCCAAAACTCCTTTAGAGTCAATAGAGTATCTGTGGTCACTTCAAAGCACCTTTCAAACATAGCTTTTGTGTACAGTTTCTTGAAGTTGGAAATGACCTGCTGGTCCATGGGCTGCAGGAGAGGAGTGGTATTAGGAGGCAAAAACTTGACCTTAATGAAGCTCATGTCCCACAAAGTCGCTCTGCCAAGTCTGTAGGATGACCAGGGGTATTGTCTAACACCAGGAGGCACTTAAGGTCTAATTTCTTTTAAATTAGGTAATTTTTCAGTGGGGGCAAATGCATGGTGTAACCAGTCATAGAAAAAGTCCCTAGTGACCCATGCCTTAGTGTTTGCCCTCCACAGCACACACAAATTAACCTTGAGGATATTCTTTTGCCTGAACGCTCTGGGAGTTTCTGAGTGATACACCAATAAAGGCTTCACTTTGCAATCGCCACTAGCATTGGCACACATCAGAAGAGTACGCCTGTCTTTCATAGGCTTATGTCCTGGGAGTGCCTTTTCCTCCTGAGTAATGCAAGTCCTGCTTGGCAATTTCTTCCAAAACAGGCCTGTTTCGTCACAATTAAACACTTGTTCAGGTTTCAATCCTTCAGCCTCTATGTACTCCTTGAATTCATGCACATATTTTTCAGCTGCTTTTTGGTCTGAACTGGCAGCCTCACCATGCCTAATCACACTATGTATGCCACTACGATTCTTAAATCTTTCAAACCAACCTTTGCTGGCCTTAAATTCACTCACCACTAGTTGCAGGCATTTTTCTAATTAAATCCTCATGCAACTGCCTAGCCTTTTCACAAATGATCGCTTGAGAGATGCTATCTCCTGCTATCTGTTTTTCATTTATCCACACCAATAACAGTCTCTCAACATTTTCTAACACTTGCAATCACTGTTTTGTAATCACAGTTGCACCTTTTGCAAGAAGAGCTTCCTTGATTGCCATTTTCCTGCTCACTATAGTAGAGATGGTTGACTGGGATTTACTATACAACTTGGCCAATTCCGACACACGCACTCCACTTTCACACTTTGCAATTATCTCTTTCTTCATTTCAATAGTCATTAGCACCCTTGGTCTCGATGGGTTGGCACTAGAAGCTTTCTTGGGGCCCATGGTGACTTATTTTGCAGAAACAAGCACCAAAAACAGTGATAATATGGATAATACGGAATGTACCGAATGTATCCTTAGATGCGCGCACACTGGCTGGCTTGTCAACACTGGCACACATGGGGCAGTTTAGGCCACACATGGACACGTCTCGTACGAATCGTATCACGTACCGGGTTTTGTAATGGGAACCGAGGCAAATTTTTTGCGATGTGCTTCAGATACCGGATTTATCGGTTACCGATGACTTCGCGAACCGGGGGTCCACTGTATTTGAATTGTGTATGAAATTGGCCAAATTACCAAATTTTGATAACTTTATTGGATAGTTGAAATCAGTAAATGGGCGGTTTATTGTACTCAACCAATAGAACAAATGGAGTTCTAGCGAAATAGCTATAAGCTTGGTCGACTGGAACAATGAAATTGGCCAACAATAAAGCTAAAATTGGGCAAAATCAGCGATGTGTAAATATCACCGAGATCAAGTGTAATTCCATTCCAAGAGTGTAAGTTTTCCATCAAATTTCGTTTTTCTTGGTCATTACCATCCGGAAAAAGATTCTCTATCATTTCATAAGATTTTTTTTTTTTTTAAATTCTTTGACACTGAGAGTGAGTTTGTGAGCAGGGGTCTCCTCAGTGAAAGGGTTAAGGCAGGGGCTTTAGGGGGCTACAGTCCAGGGGCCTCCGCCAATTGGAGGGCCTCCAGAGATTAAGTGAAAAGTGTTCACAGTTACTGCTGTAAGTTTATAATTATAGTATGTTATTACATCCTAGGTAGTAGGTTGGTAAACAGCAACCGCCCAGGGAGGTACTACCGTCCTGCCAAGTGAGTGTACAACGAAAACCTGTAACTGTTTTACATGATGGTAGGATTGCTGGTGTCTTTTGTCTGTCTCATAAACATGCAAGATTTCAGGTATGTCTTGCTACTTCTACTTGCACTTAGGTCACACTACACATACATGTACAAGCATATACATACACACCCCTCTGGGTATTCTTCTATTTTCTTTCTAGTTCTTGTTCTTGTTTATTTCCTCTTATCTTCATGGGGAAGTGGAACAGAATTCTTCCTCCGTAAGCCATGCGTGTTGTACGAGACGACTAAAATGCCGGGAGCAAGGGGCTAGTAACCCCTTCTCCCGTATAAATTACTAAATTTAAAAGAGAAACTTTCCTTTTTCTTTTTGGGCCACCCTGCCTTGGTGGGATATGGCCGGTGTGTTGAAAGAAAGAAAGATGTTATTACATCACTTATATGATGAACTGTTGACTGTTGTGATTATTTTTTTTTTCCTTTCGAAAATATCTCTTGGGGCCTCACAGTACCTGAAGCCCAGGGTCTTGCAAAATCCTAATACAGCTCTGAACATATTAAGGCCATTTTGAAAGCTATTGAATATATTTACTTGATTACATGTGTTTATAAATATTGCTGGAATACCTGTAGGTAACCAATATGTCCAAACTTTTCTTCTAGACTTGAGCATCCATCAACACAAAGCTGTAAAATGTAAAGTAGCATATCATAATTTTACAATATCTTACATCACACAGATAACCCATACATTGAAAATATTAATGATTTTTTTTAACACACTGGCCCTGTCTCCCATCAAGAAAGGGCGACCCAAAGAGAAAACGCATTTACCATTCATTCATTAGCTGTCTTGCTAGAACTGCTCAGACATTACAGTTCTGCTGACCCTCCAAACTGCAATCTATTCGTCTCCTCCTTCGAAGTGCAGTCACCTCCAGGACTCAAGTCTAGCTAACCAGTTTCCCTGAATCCCTTCATAAATATTACCTTGCTTACACTGACAACACATTACGCCATGAAATCCACTTTCCCCACTCGCACAGATTTAATATATTCACACAAGCCTGCTGGATGCCCAAACTCCTAGCACTTAAAACCTTTACTCCCTTCCTCTAACCCTTTCCTGGGACGACCCCTACTCTTTTTTTCAACTTTTATCCCTTCCTTATACATTCTCTTGGTCATCCTGTCCTGTCCCAACAGCCTCAACCAAAAAAATATTTTCAGCTCTATTCTGGTATCCTTCTTAGGCAGATGAATCAAAATAGTCAATTTTATTTTTAATTTTCAATAAAATGCAGGTTTTCTTTGCAGTTTACAACACAATTGTCCTGAATAATTTGTTAAGTTATACCACGAATTAAGTAAAGATCCTAGACTTCACCTTACGAAACAGACAAAGCAAATGCAATAGTAATTATGGACAAGGTAGATTATAGTGGAAAAATGAACATGTTATTAGAAGACGGGGGAGCTAATGTGCCCCTTAAATTTGTGTTGGCAGCATCCACCTCAGAACCGAAGGGGCTGACATCGGAAACAGACTCAATAGGATGGCGGGCGTCAGCAGGGGCACAGTGGCAGGATAAGTATGCTGAGTATGCCGACGTCTCCAAAGTCAATTCCTTCGCTGATACTCTCATCTCCTACGCTACCATGTGGTACCAATATGCCTCCAGGAACGAGGAAGGTAAGTCAGTCAGTTGGTACCAGTACTCCTAAAAAAAAAAAAAAAAAAAAAAAAAAAAACATTGGATATTGACTGGCTATTCAATATAGTAGTATGAAAAATATAATACCTAAGGACTCCCTACATTATGAAATTTATAAATGCCATAAAAACAAGGTTCACTACTTTTCAGTTTTTGTTTTTTGAGTCATATTCTATTTTAAATGATGCAAATTTGTGTAAGAAATTTTTGTTTTTAAGAAACTCCATTTCATGTCAGACATTCATTGATGAGGGGTTTTAAGTAAATTTTTGCAAATTGGTACCTGCACACCCAATCAAGAAACAGCTTTATTTCGATAAGATACATTAACGTTGAGGCTTCTACTGACCAGATAATATACTATACACAAATAACCCGAATACAGAATAGAGGAGCTTACAACAACGTTTTGGTCCGACTTGGGCCAAGTTGGACCGAAACGTTGTCGTAAGCTCTTCTCTCCTATATGTGGGTTATTTGTGTGTTGTTCCTGTCATGGTATTGTGCCTTTTTGTTATTTAGATAATATACTCATAAGTTAAGCCATGAAACCCAATATTTAAGTTTTTTTTTTTTTTTTTGCATCTTCATCAATAAAATTGGCAAATTGATAAGTATACAACCCAAGAGCAACTCGAACCTTCGTTTAAGTAGGATACATCAGCATTTAAGTAGGATACATTAGCGTTTAGGTAGGATATATCAGCATTTAAGTAGGATACATCAGTGTTTAGGTAGGATACATTAGCATTTAGGTAGGATACATTAGTGTTTAGGTAGGATACATCAGCATTTAAGTAGGATACATTAGCATTTAAGCATGATACATTAACATTTAAGTAGGATGCATCAGCATTTAAGTAGGATACATTCATCTTTAAGATTCGTAGTCTATCTGCAGTTACTGCATGGAAATCAACATCAAAATGTGCTTAATAAAACTGCCATATTGAAATCTATGAAGCTAAGTAAAAATGTTAATTTTCTTTTAGGAAAGTGCAACAGAACAAAAGCTGAAGCTCACCAGACGACAATTTCTTCAGTTAATATATGGAATCTAACAATTCTAAATTTATTAAGAATATTGATAAATTGGCACTTATACAGCCGAAGATCAGTTGGACCTTTCTTATATGATACACCAGCATTAAAGATTTGAAGTTGATCGGAAGTGGCATTCTCCAGTTTTTTTGCTTGGAAATTTTTATTATGTTTTATAACAGAACTATGAAAATTGGGATTTATGCAAACAGTAATAATGCTAACTCTTCTCTAATAAAAGCAAAGTAATGCAAAATGTTTGAAGCCGACCAGAAGAGGCATTATTCAGTTATTTCCCAAATTCCAGCAATTCAAACTTTATTTCCCATGTTGGTAAACTGGCAACTTTGCACTTTCACAGCCTAAGTTTATATGATTACACCTTTTTGTCATGAGTCATTATTGTTATTTATTTTTTTTTTTTATTATCACACTGGCCGATTCCCACCAAGGCAGGGTGGCCCGAAAAAGAAAAACTTTCACCATCATTCACTCCATCACTGTCTTGCCAGAAGGGTGCTTTACACTACAGTTTTTAAACTGCAACATTAACACCCCTCCTTCAGAGTGCAGGCACTGTACTTCCCATCTCCAGGACTCAAGTCCGGCCTGCCGGTTTCCCTGAACCCCTTCATAAATGTTACTTTGCTCACACTCCAACAGCACGTCAAGTATTAAAAACCATTTGTCTCCATTCACTCCTATCAAACACGCTCACGCATGCCTGCTGGAAGTCCAAGCCCCTCACACACAAAACCTCCCTTTACCCCCTCTCTCCAACCTTTCCTAGGCCGACCCCTACCCCGCCTTCCTTCCACTACAGACTGATACACTCTTGAAGTCATTCTGTTTCGCTCCATTCTCTCTACATGTCCGAACCACCTCAACAACCCTTCCTCAGCCCTCTGGACAACAGTTTTGGTAATCCCGCACCTCCTCCTAACTTCCAAACTATGAATTCTCTGCATTATATTCACACCACACATTGCCCTCAGACATGACATCTCCACTGCCTCCAGCCTTCTCCTCGCTGCAACATTCATCACCCATGCTTCACACCCATATAAGAGCGTTGGTAAAACTATACTCTCATACATTCCCCTCTTTGCCTCCAAGGACAAAGTTCTTTGTCTCCACAGACTCCTAAGTGCACCACTCACTCTTTTCCCCTCATCAATTCTATGATTCACCTCATCTTTCATAGACCCATCCGCTGACACGTCCACTCCCAAATATCTGAATACATTCACCTCCTCCATACTCTCTCCCTCCAATCTGATATCCAATCTTTCATCACCTAATCTTTTTGTTATCCTCATAACCTTACTCTTTCCTGTATTCACCTTTAATTTCTTCTTTTGCACACCCTACCAAATTCATCCACCAATCTCTGCAACTTCTCTTCAGAATCTCCCAAGAGCACAGTGTCATCAGCAAAGAGCAGCTGTGACAACTCCCACTTTGTGTGTGATTCTTTATCTTTTAACTCCACGCCTCTTGCCAAGACCCTCGCATTTACTTCTCTTACAACCCCATCTATAAATATATTAAACAACCACGGTGACATCACACATCCTTGTCTAAGGCCTACTTTTACTGGGAAATAATTTCCCTCTTTCCTACATACTCTAACTTGAGCCTCACTATCCTCGTAAAAACTCTTCACTGCTTTCAGTAACCTACCTCCTACACCATACACTTGCAACATCTGCCACATTGCCCCCCTATCCACCCTGTCATACGCCTTTTCCAAATCCATAAATGCCACAAAGACCTCTTTAGCCTTATCTAAATACTGTTCACTTATATGTTTCACTGTAAACACCTGGTCCACACACCCCCTACCTTTCCTAAAGCCTCCTTGTTCATCTGCTATCCTATTCTCCGTCTTACTCTTAATTCTTTCAATAATAACTCTACCATACACTTTACCAGGTATACTTAGCAGACTTATCCCCCTATAATTTTTGCACTCTCTTTTATCCCCTTTGCCTTTATACAAAGGAACTATGCATGCTCTCTGCCACTCCCTAGGTACCTTACCCTCTTCCATACATTTATTAAATAATTATTATTAAATAATTGCACCAACCACTCCAAAACTATATCCCCACCTGCTTTTAACATTTCTATCTTTATCCCATCAATCCCGGCTGCCTTACCCCCTTTCATTTTACCTACTGCCTCACGAACTTCCCCCACACTCACAACTGGCTCTTCCTCACTCCTACAAGATGTTATTCCTCCTTGTCCTATACACGAAATCACAGCTTCCCTATCTTCATCAACATTTAACAATTCCTCAAAATATTCCCTCCATCTTCCCAATACCTCTAACTCTCCATTTAATAACTCTCCTCTCCTATTTTTAACTGACAAATCCATTTGTTCTCTAGGCTTTCTTAACTTGTTAATCTCACTCCAAAACTTTTTCTTATTTTCAACAAAATTTGTTGATAACATCTCACCCACTCTCTCATTTGCTCTCTTTTTACATTGCTTCACCACTCTCTTAACCTCTCTCTTTTTCTCCATATACTCTTCCCTCCTTGCATCACTTCTACTTTGTAAAAACTTCTCATATGCTAACTTTTTCTCCTATACTACTCGCTTTACATCATCATTCCACCAATCGCTCCTCTTCCCTCCCGCACCCACTTTCCCGTAACCACAAACTTCTGCTGAACACTCTAACACTACATTTTTAAACGTACCCCATACCTCTTCGACCCCATTGCCTATGCTCTCATTAGCCCATCTATCCTCCAATAGCTGTTTATATCTTACCCTAACTGCCTCCTCTTTTAGTTTATAAACCTTCACCTCTCTCTTCCCTGATGCTTCTATTCTCCTTGTATCCCATCTACCTTTTACTCTCAGTGTAGCTACAACTAGAAAGTGATCTGATATATCTGTGGCCCCTCTATAAACATGTACATCCTGAAGTCTACTCAACAGTCTTTTATCTACCAATACATAATCCAACAAACTTCTGTCATTTCGCCCTACATCATATCTTGTATACTTATTTAACCTCTTTTTCTTAAAATATGTATTACCTATAACTAAACCCCTTTCTATACAAAGTTCAATCAAAGGGCTCCCATTATCATTTACACCTGGTACCCCAAACTTACCTACCACACCCTCTCTAAAAGTTTCTCCTACTTTAGCATTCAGGTCCCCTACCACAATTACTCTCTCACTTGGTTCAAAGGCTCCTATACATTCACTTAACATCTCCCAAAATCTCTCTCTCTCCTCTACATTCCTCTCTTCTCCAGGTGCACACACACTTATTATGACCCACTTTTTGCATCCAACCTTTACTTTAATCCACATAATTCTTGAATTTACACATTCGTATTCTCTTTTTCTCCTTCCATAACTGATCATTTAACATTACTGCTACCCCTTCCTTTGCTCTAACTCTCTCAGATACTCCAGATTTAATCCCATTTATTTCCCCCCACTGAAACTCCCCTACCCCCTTCAGCTTTGTTTCGCTTAGGGCCAGGACATCCAACTTCTTTTCATTCATAACATCAGCAATCATCTGTTTCTTGTCATCCGCACTACATCCACGCACATTTAAGCATCCCAGTTTTATAAAGTTTTTCTTCTTCTCTTTTTTAGTAAATGTCTACAGGAGAAGGGGTTACTAGCCCATTGCTCCCGGCATTTCAGTCGCCTCATACGACACGCATGGCTTACGGAGGAAAGATTCTTTTCCACTTCCCCATGGACAATAGAAGAAATAAAGAAGAACAAGAGCTATTTAGAAAAAGGAGAAAAACCTAGATGTATATATATATATATGCATGTGCGTGTCTGTGAAGTGTGACCAAAGTGTAAGTAGGAGTAGCAAGATATCCCTGTTATCTAGCGTGTTTATGAGACAGAAAAAGAAACCAGCAATCCTACCATCATGCAAAACAGTTACAGGTTTCTGTTTCACAGTCATCTGGCAGGACGGTAGTACTTCCCTGGGTGGTTGCTGTCTACCAACCTACTACCTATTATAATCAAAACTAAGTGATCAACCACCAGGGTCATACAGCGCTGATAAGATGCGTCAGCCATTAACAATTCAAACGATTCAGATGAGGCATATCCAATTTATTTTACAGATAATACAACATCAATTTAAAAGTAAAGGAGAGAGTTAAGGTCCTTGCAACTATCTGTATAGGCAAGTGCTCTTTGGTCAATTTCATTATGCCAATCTAATTTTGGTTTCTGTGCAAAAACTTTAGGAGGCCTTTAGGCCTCTTCTAATCTGTTTCAGACATTCAAAACTGGTGTATTTTATTTAGAGGAAGCTGTAGAATGCTTTTGGACTGTATAGGTGCTAGTCTGTCATTTTTGTTGAAGAAATTATGAAAATTAGAAAATTGGTTTCTGTGTAGAAGCCGACTCTTTTTGATTTGCTCCAAACTTTAATCAGAGTTGGTATATCGTATTTAGTGGAAATTTTGAATTAGTTTTGAAATGTGTAGATGCCTATTTGTCACCTTACTGAAGAAATGGAATATTAGTTTTCATACAGTGATTTTGAATGTCTATTCTGATTGGCTTCAAATCTTCCATGCTGATATCTAAATGTATTAGAAACTTGTGCCACACACTGTACTACTCATGCTGCATGCACTGAGATGGAGCTGGGATTTTGGACTACAGGGACACCTTTCTTGGACTGTATAATACATCAAGTGATATATCGTGGTTTTCAGAGTTATTCAAACTGGCTTCAATCTCTTAGCATTTGTTCACCTTTCTAAGAAAAATGCTTGGGTTATTGAGGCGCTGTGTAGGTTCCAATTTGCTAATTTAATGTATACAAATAACTCATCATTTTCCATGCTTTGACTTCAGAAAGCCCCATCTGACTGACTTCCAGCTGTCAACACTGGCATGTCTGGTGCATCTTCAGGGAGAGTTCAGTTATAGCTCTCGTCTTTTTTGGGAGCTGAGCTGTAACTCCTTTGCCTCTTGAGGGTTTTGAGGTACAGGGGGCTAGGGTTATGGAAGATCAGGATACGTTTCTCAGATCCCGTGGTGACCAAGAAATCTATTTATTATTATTATTGCAATTTAAATTAAAAATATAATTGTCATTATAACTGAAAATATCGCTTACCAGGTTCTCTGTACGTGGACACACTGGTGGACCAACTGCGTGAACACGGTACTAAGGAGAGCATAGAGAACGTCCTTCGTCGGGTACACTACAACGTGAACACAGTGGGACTCACATGCGAAGAAAAGGGCCGGGAAGTCTACTGGAAGCAAGCGCCATACTTTGAGTCCTCGCTTCAGAAAGAGTTCATCTTCCCTAAAACAAAGCTGTAATAGCCCGGAGGATCCAACTGTCACAAGGTTACCTAGGAGTTGATGCGTCCAGTGTTATTATCATCATCATAATCATCAATCATCAGCAGCAGAAGAAAAAGCAACAATGTTGACAGACAGAGAAATAATTCAAAACAAGAGTAATAGTGAGAAATATAATTCACGGAAAATGGACAGGCCCAGAGTATGAGACAGAGAAGAGAGATTTCTACTGGCTCACCTTTAAAGATATCCTTATCTGTGAGACACAAGTGGCACTGATAAGCAGTAACTAATAACATGTAACAACTAATGATTAACCATTGATTGCACAAGTGATAATGATCAACACCAAACATAAGAAATTAGAGTAGCTGTACCAATGATCATAAATATTTGAATCACGCATAGTACTACAGGATATATGAAACACAATTTTAGTAAGTAACTTCATTATTATTATTATTATATTCATAAGGAACAGGGGGTAATGAGATGTGATTCAGGAAAGGTAAAAACAGCTTCAGTTTCTTAAATTTAAGTATGCCTTCTTAAAGGAAATAATTCAGCCCAAACTCTTCATATAACCTATAGTATTGGCCATGTGTGCTGAATCTTGAGGATTACTATTATAATGAAAAAAGAAGCACTAAACCCACTAGGGTCATACGGCACTGGTGAATCTTAGGGAAACCCAAACCATACTGCAATAGTTTACAAGTTTCATTTTTCCAATTCCTTGGGAGTCTGGGACTCTCTTTCATAAATGACCAAAATCCATTTAATTTAGCATATATATCTTAAAATGAGGGGGAGGGGGTTACCCATATTCCTTAAACTGCACTGTTCAAATGTGGTGAAAGTGAAAAATGTCATTATTTTGTCAATATGAATTAATATTAGTTTTCATATACCATGAGTGTATTAAATATTCCCAAAGATACGAAAACAGTTTACTCGTCAAAAAATCATTGTAAGTGGTAACAGTAACCTCACAGTTATTTTAGAGCTTTAAGGTATGGAGGAAATATTTAAAATATTGTATTTCAAATTATCTTATAATGTTGAATGGTTAAACTTTAAAGGAGGGGTTTGGGATATAGGCAGTTTGGAGGGATTTTTAAATTGTCTTATCTGAGTGCCTCTGCAAAGACAGTGATTGTGTATGAGTGATGTGAAAGTGTTGAATGATGATGAAAGTATTTTTCTTTTTGGGGATTTTCTTTCTTTTTGGGTCACCCTGCCTCGGTGGGAGACAACCGAAGTGTTAAAAAAAAAATATACGCATGTGTATATATATATATACATATACACATGTATATATGTATATAAAATGTATAGCATCTGCAAAATAAGAAGTAATCTGGATTAATCCAAGGTAGGAAAGAGTAGCTCCACCCAGTTCCTTGGATCAAGAGCCCTTCACTGGCATCATGGTAATACCCCTTCCCGGAGGGTAATTTCTTACATGTACGTATTAAAAAATAAAATGCAAAATACGTAGGTTATTCACTTTGTACATTATCTATTCACTATCATATTGCATGCTAACTGTAACTATTTTAATAAAGAATGCTAAAAAAGAATTTTAATAATGTTAATAAAGCAAGTCATTAATGAATATTAAATCCCTTATCAGCATTACCTCACATCTATGATACTTATTTTCACTCATGATACTTATCTTTCACTCATCAGTCCTGTTATAATGTAGTTTCCATTGGCAGAGAGAAAGGAAAGCTGTATCAATCCTGTTAAAACTTTGCAGCCTTTGCTGACAGAAAAAAAGAACTTATATTAATCTTCTTGTAATGTACTGTAGCTTCCACTGGCAGAGGAACAAGGAATCTATCAATCCTGTTTAATATAAATATAATTATGCACTAAACCCACAAGGGTCATACAGCATCAATCCTGTTGAAAGGTAGCTTCAGTCTGTAGTGTTGTGGTGGTCATGTCACTTCACCCATTGGAAACTGGATCATCTTACAACATATTAGACTACCTTCTGGTAAGACATTGGGTGGCCATCTAGCAGGACCTCCTATGATAGAAGTACTACTGGAAGATGCCTGCAGATCCAGGTGTATGACTCCTAGTATTTTGCCAGTTCACTCACCAATATTAGCTGAAAGACAATGGAACAGTTTGTGCTCTTGCTTCAACAGGTGATTTTGCTGTCTTACTCAGTTAATTCTGGAGGCACCATCATGGTATTGTACTGCGTACTAGGTAGGATAAGAGGGGGTTTTCAAGGAAGGAACAACAGCACTACCTGATGCAGCAAACCGGGGATCAGGGTACACAACCTACACTATGAAGGCAGGCGGCTTTACCTGCGACATGGTAATGATTCAAGGATCGCCCACGCACACCAAAGGGCAGAGTGGCTTGCAGCCAAATGCCAGGAAGCAACAGACAAGCAATGATGCTGACAGAACACACAATATGTGTATGATAACTAGAGCCAGATTATTATAACAATTGGCATATGTAGGTGCCTTATGATCATAGTTGTTAAACCCATTCCAGCATCCTGTGTAAGAGATATGACAAGCGATATAACATGATAGTAGTTTGTTGGATTTATGTATTGGTGGACAAAAGCTTGATGGGTAGGCTAATGGATGTGCATGCTTAAAGAGGAGCAACAGATATATCAAGTCATTTTTTTAGTTGTAGCTACAGTAAGATTAAAAGGTAGAACAGATAAAAGGAGGATGGCAGCAATGAGTAGTTTATAAAGTAAAGGAGGAGGTAGTTACGATAAGATATAAGCAACTACGTATTGGTAGAAAGATGGGCTATTGAGAGTATAGGTAATGAGGCTGAAGTGGTATGAGGTAGATTTAAGAAAGCAGTGTTAATGTGTTCAGCAGAAGTTTGTAAATATAAAAAGGTGGGTGAAAGAAGGAAAGGGAGCGATTGGTGGAATGAGGTAGAGAGCAGTAAAAGAAAAAGTTAGCATATTAGAGGTTTTTATAAAACAGAAGTGATATAAGGAGGGAGGAATATATGGAGAGAGAAAGAGAATGCTTGAATGTGAGTGGATGTAGTGCGGATGACAAGAAACAGATGATTGCTGATGTTATGAATGAAAAGAAGTTGGATGTCCTGGCCCTAAGCGAAACAAAGCTGAAGGGAGTAGGGGAGTTTCGGTGGGGGGAAATAAATGGGATTAAATCTGGAGTATCTGAGAGAGTTAGAGCAAAGGAAGGGGTAGCAGTAATGTTGAATGATCAGTTATGGAAGGAGAAAAGAGAATATGAATGTGTAAATTCAAGAATTATGTGGATTAAAGTAGAGGTTGGATGCGAGAAGTGGGTCATAATAAGCGTGTATGCACCTGGAGAAGAGAGGAATGCAGAGGAGAGAGAGAGATTTTGGGAGATGTTAAGTGAATGTATAGGAGCCTTTGAACCAAGTGAGAGAGTAATTGTGGTAGGGGACCTGAATGCTAAAGTAGGAGAAACTTTTAGAGAGGGTGTGGTAGGTAAGTTTGGGGTGCCAGGTGTAAATGATAATGGGAGCCCTTTGATTGAATTTGTATAGAAAGGGGTTTAGTTATAGGTAATACATATTTTTGAAAAAGAGGATAAGTATACAAGATATGATGTAGGGCGAAATGACAGTAGTTTGTTGGATTATGTATTGGTGGATAAAAGACTGTTGAGTAGACTTCAGGATGTACATGTTTATAGAGGGGCTACAGATATATCAGATCACTTTCTAGTTGTAGCTACACTGAGAGTAAAAGGTAGATGGGATACAAGGAGAATAGAAGCACCAGGGAAGAGAGAGGTGAAGGTTTATAAACTAAAAGAGGAAGCAGTTAGGGTAAGATATAAACAGCTATTGGAGGATAGATGGGCTAATGAGAGCATAGGCAATGGGGTCAAAGAGGTATGGGGTAGGTTTAAAAATGTAGTGTTAGAGTGTTCAGCAGAAGTTTGTGGTTACAGGAAAGTGGGTGCGGGAGGGAAGAGGAGCGATTGGTGGAATGATGATGTAAAGAGAGTAGTAAGAGAGAAAAAGTTAGCAAAAAGTTTTTACAAAGTAGAGTGCAAGGAGGAGAGTATATGGAGTAAAAGAGAGAGGTTAAGAGAGTGGTGAAGCAATGTAAAAAGAGAGCAAATGAGAGAGTGGGTGAGATGTTATCAACAAATTTTGTTGAAAATAAGAAAAAGTTTTGGAGTGAGATTAACAAGTTAAGAAAGCCTAGAGAACAAATGGATTTGTCAGTTAAAAATAGGAGAGGAGAGTTATTAAATGGAGAGTTAGAGGTATTGGGAAGATGGAGGGAATATTTTGAGGAATTGTTAAATGTTGATGAAGATAGGGAAGCTGTGATTTCGTGTATAGGGCAAGGAGGAATAACATCTTGTAAGAGTGAGGAAGAGCCAGTTGTGAGTGTGGGGGAAGTTCGTGAGGCAGTAGGTAAAATGAAAGGGGGTAAGGCAGCCGGGATTGATGGGATAAAGATAGAAATGTTAAAAGCAGGTGGGGATATAGTTTTGGAGTGGTTGGTGCAATTATTTAATAAATGTATGGAAGAGGGCAAGGTACCTAGGGATTGGCAGAGAGCATGCATAGTTCCTTTGTATAAAGGCAAAGGGGATAAAAGAGAGTGCAAAAATTATAGGGGGATAAGTCTGTTGAGTATACCTGGTAAAGTGTATGGTAGAGTTATTATTGAAAGAATTAAGAGTAAGACAGAGAATAGGATAGCAGATGAACAAGGAGGCTTTAGGAAAGGTAGGGGGTGTGTGGACCTGGTGTTTACAGTGAAACATATAAGTGAACAGTATTTAGATAAGGCTAAAGAGGTCTTTGTGGCATTTATGGATTTGGAAAAGGCGTATGACAGGGTGGATAGGGGGGCAATGTGGCAGATGTTGCAAGTGTACGGTGTAGGAGGTAGGTTACTGAAAGCAGTGAAGAGTTTTTATGAGGATAGTGAGGCTCAAGTTAGAGTATGTAGGAAAGAGGGAAATTATTTCCCAGTAAAAGTAGGCCTTAGACAAGGATGTGTGATGTCACCATGGTTGTTTAATATATTTATAGATGGGTTGTAAGAGAAGTAAATGCGAGGGTCTTGGCAAGAGGCGTGGAGTTAAAAGATAAAGAATCACACAAAGTGGGAGTTGTCACAGTTGCTCTTTGCTGATGACACTGTGCTCTTGGGAGATTCTGAAGAGAAGTTGCAGAGATTGGTGGATGAATTTGGTAGGGTGTGCAAAAGAAGAAAACTGAAAGTGAATACAGGAAAGAGTAAGGTTATGAGGATAACAAAAAGATTAGGTGATGAAAGATTGGAGGGAGAGAGTATGTAGGAGGTGAATGTATTCAGATATTTGGGAGTGGACGTGTCAGCGGATGGGTCTATGAAAGATGAGGTGAATCATAGAATTGATGAGAGGAAAAGGGTGAGTGGTGCACTTAGGAGTCTGTGGAGACAAAGAACTTTGTCCTTGGAGGCAAAGAGGGGAATGTATGAGAGTATAGTTTTACCAACGCTCTTATATGGGTGTGAAGCATGGGTGATGAATGTTGCAGCGAGGAGAAGGCTGGAGGCAGTGGAGATGTCATGTCTGAGGGCAATGTGTGGTGTGAATATAATGCAGAGAATTCGTAGTTTGGAAGTTAGGAGGAGGTGCGGGATTACCAAAACTGTTGTCCAGAGGGCTGAGGAAGGGTTGTTGAGGTGGTTCGGACATGTAGAGAGAATGGAGCGAAACAGAGTGACTTCAAGAGTGTATCATGTATCAGTCTGTAGTGGAAGGAAGGTGGGGTAGGGGTCGGCCTAGGAAAGGTTGGAGGGAGGGGGTAAAGGAGGTTTTGTGTGCGAGGGGCTTGGACTTCCAGCAGGCATGCGTGAGCGTGTTTGATAGGAATGAATGGAGACAAATGGTTTTTAATACTTGACGTGCTGTTGAAGTGTGAGTAAAGTAACATTTATGAAGGGGTTCAGGGAAACCGGCAGGCCGGACTTGAGTCCTGGAGATGGGAAGTACAGTGCTTGCACTCTGAAGGAGGGGTGTTAATGTTGCAGTTTAAAAACTGTAGTGTAAAGCACCCTTCTGGCAAGACAGTGATGGAGTGAATGATGGTGAAAGTTTTTCTTTTTCGGGCCACCCTGCCTTGGTGGGAATCGGCCAGTGTGATAATAAAATAATAAATAAAAAAAGAGAAGTTCTTATTTTTCTTTTTAGTAGGCTATACAGGAAAAGGGGTTATTAGCCCATTGCTCCAGGCATTTTAGTTGACTTTTTCAGCACACGTGGCTTATGGAGGAAAGATTCTTATTCCACTTCCCCATGGATATGAAAGGAAAAGCAATTAGAACAAGATAAAATCAAGGAAAACTCAGATGAGTGTGTATACATAAACGTGTACATGCATGTGTAGTGTGACCTAAGTGTAAGTAGAAGTAGCAAGACGTACCTGAAATCTTGCAAGTTTAAGACTGAGAAAAGACACCAGCAATCCTACCATCATGTAAAACAAATATGGGCTTCCATTTTATACTCACTTGGTAGGACAGTACATGTATTACCTCCCTGAGTGGTTGCTGTGTACCAACCTA